GGGGGGGGGGGGGGGGGGGGGGGGGGGGGGGGGGGGGGGGGGGGGGGGGGTGACGCAGAGCAGAGTTGCAGGTGGGTACGATGGACTAGATACGAAAGGATTTGGATGCTGGAGACCAACCAAGGAGGTTGATACTTTTTGTATGGTGGCTTCGTCGGCACTTTCTCGACAATCACAAGGTCGACTCCTTGTGGGCGTTCGTCTTGTGGGGGGGAAGTGTTCTAGAATAGAAAAGCCGCCCACTGCCCACTCACTCTCTCCCACCGTAAAACTTAACACTGCGAGTCATCCGCAGTGTATCCGCAGTTTATCCGCAAACGTACCAAACGCGACGACATTTTGACTTGGCGCCGCGTGTAGTCGGATACATCCTTTTGTCCTTTTGGCCCAAACGTCATCCAACACTGATTCAATCAAGACATACTTGCGCATATCTACAACTCACGCAGACACAACCTTTCTGGGTTTGAATCTGTCAAGCGTGTGCCGAAAACCCACAGGTGGAAAAAATGTGCAAGGCAACAATAGCCCTCAGTTCTCATAAGCATTTCGCACTCCTCGGCTCATGAACTGCCACTCTAACTTTGACCGGGCCATGCTCCCAGGCACCCCCACATTGAGGCATGCGGGTTACACGGCCTAGTCGTCGATGCTGGCCAAGCCTAGCGCAAAGGTAAGTCTTCGTCATCGGGCCGATAGCTACAGCAACAACAACACCATACCAAACATCTCGTTGTCAGTCTCATGTTGTATGTTCTTTTTTTCGTGCAAAATCGCAACAAATTCATCTCTCCATAATAGCAAAAATACGAGTGGTTCTTTCTGTCCCTGAAAGAACACCCGACGATGGAAGTAACAAGTACGCTTGGATCTGGCTGTGACAGTTGCTTTGCAAAACCGACATCGAGCGCCAGGCCCTAGCCTGCACGTCTGAATGAACCACGGCGGCGCTATTCTGCCACATCGGGCGGCCGTTCATGTTGTTAGTTATGTGCGTACCGGTAAACATGCATGCATACAAGTGGTCACTCCCGGACTTGGTTCACTACAGCACAGCAGTGTCACAAGGGGCGATACAAGATGAAAACAAGCGCAGGCAGCAGGACGAACCCACAGCTGACTGCCGGCGGTGATGACGTTTCCCAAGCCCAACAGCTGACGTGCTTGCTCGATTCGAACAGCTCAGCGAACCTCAACGACCCACAACGAAACATTGGCGCATCTGCATACAGCAGCAGTTCAATTCTCTGTGGTCGCATTAGACGAGAATAGCTGTCGTAATGCATGGTATGCATACCAGTGATGTTGACGCGGTTACTCCCGAGGACGTCGAGAGCGTCCACCGAAAGGTACTCGCACGGAAGGTCCAGGAAGCTCATGTTGAAGTTGATTTGGAGCTTTGCGGGATCGAACGAAAAAAGAAAGTTCAGCCGGACGTTCGTTCGGTTGGTCAGACGACTGCACGCCAAGAACCCTGATTGGTCGATTTGTTGTTTCTACGATAGGGGTGGTCGTTGTTCTTGAACCATGGGGGTCGCAGTGCTCTTTGCTCGTTCTTGCTCAGGGTAAATCAGTTCTCTACGGTCGAGCAAATAACCTCAGCAGCTGCAAACCACGAGAAATGTCTCATGTTTTGCTGCATGCACCCTTTCAGCGATCTCCTAAACCTGGGTCTTCACACAAACAAGTGGGAAATATCGAGCCAGAAGGCCCCCCATTTCGCCCCATTTAGTACCCCCTGTCCATTAATTGTGTACGGCCCCGCAAAGATCGGGATCCCTTGCGGTACTTGCAGAATAGTCGTGCCTGCCGATTGTATAAAACGTCTGATTAGCCAGGACGGATGCCCAATCAACCCATGGCGTATCTGGTTTGGCACAGGCAGCGCAAGGATAATAACCAGCTCCCTCTTCATGCTTGTGACACGTTGCCTGGGCAGGCGAAAACCCGGCACATAGCCCCGTCCCGGCATTGTACGTACGGATGCGAGGATTATTGTCTACCGAGTGCGGCATGCGTTTACATGAGCACACCCTCCCGCCGCCCAGACATTCAGCTCGCGGCCTGTGAAAGGCCTCAAGGATCGCTGCTGCGCCTCAAAAGGGCTACCCGACCGAATGGTCAAGTATCACAAGGGTCCCTCCAAGTGGAAACATTGGAACACCCCTAGGTTGCATATCAATATTGGTCGCGGTGGGGGGGGATAGGCCTTGTTTGTCCCCGGGGGGGAACATTGTGACAAAATCCCTGGGGTTTCGACAAAACTTCGGGCGCTTTTTCCAGCGCCGCGCGCGGGATCCCACACAGAGCTGGTGGAAAATATGGAAACACCCCAGGAAAACGCCTCAACCTTGGTCGCGAGGACTAGTGTATGGTGTAGAAGATAGTATGATGACACGAAAGCCTGCAAATTAAGGGAGTTTCGTGGGTTTTAGAATGGCACGAAAGTCTATTCAATGAAGATGAAGAGTACATTGGTTTTACTATAAACGCACTAAATCCTACTAGTATGTAATAGACTGCTGCAAGTGAGCCGCCTAAAGTGGATATCTTGCGTGTCAATCTTGGCCCGGGAGGGATAAGGGGGGTGGGGTGTTCCACGGTTTCTACATGGAGGGACCCTTGAGCATCAGGCAAGCAACGAGGAGTGATCCCCCCCCCCCCCCCCCC